GTGGCCTAGAGAGTCGGACTTGTAACCCAAAGGTTGCGAGTTTGAGTCTCGTACTGGCAGGGATTGTAGGTGGGGGGAGTGAATGTACAGTGCTCTCTTCCACCTTCAATACCACGACTGAGGTGCCCTTGAGCAAGGCCCCCTTGCCCAACCCCCCAACTGCTCCACAGGCACCACTGCATAAATGGCTGCCCACTGCTGCGTGTGCGTGTGCGTGCTTGGGATGGGTTAAATGCACCAGAGAATGCACATTCTCTGCACTAATTCCTAGTATGGGTAACCATACTTGGCCACATGTCATGTGAAAACAACATGGACACTCGCGTTACTAAAAAGATGTGTTGGAAACAGTGTCTCCGAAACCGACGCAAGAGCTTTCCGACTTGAGTTCACGTGCATTTTCTCAGTCAATTATTTTTCACGTGCTGCTTCTTGCGTCTGTTTCGGAGAACCAAAGGACCAATATTTCAATCGCTCGCTCCGGCATGGCACCCGAAATGAGGCACCTATCTCTGCATTCTGATTCGGTTCTTGTACATACCGGTTACATGGGTACCGGTGCCATATTGGTACCGGGTTTCGGTACCCAACCCTATTCTAAACTCCATCAAACACCTCAATTATAGTCCTGAGTTTTCTTCCAGGAATGTATGTCACAATATCCCTCACTTAAATAATTCCTGCCCAAGTCAACACACCTTGTGTATCTGACAGTTGACTTTCTGTGGATGCACTTAGTGTCTGTGCCCTCAGAAAGCCATATATCAGAAGTTTAAAATAAGAGTTTAAGTCCCCACACACACACAATTTTATAATAAAGATCAACAATGTCGCGTGATAGAGATGATAATCAAATGTATTTGTTGCTGCTGTAGTAGAGGCACGAGCTGTAAAGGCACAACCGGGGCCTAAAGTTAACACTCGTCAAGCGCCAATGTTTGAAACCGATGGCCAGTAACGTTAAGTCTAATAATGCTTGAACGTGATCTGGTTTACCACACACACACAATTTTATAATAAAGATCAACAATGTCGCGTGATAGAGATGATAATCAAATGTATTTGTTGCTGCTGTAGTAGAGGCACGAGCTGTAAAGGCACAACCGGGGCCTAAAGTTAACACTCGTCAAGCGCCAATGTTTGAAACCGATGGCCAGTAACGTTGTCTAATAATGCTTGAACGTGATCTGGTTTTGCGCAATTATTAAATTGCAGAGATTATGCTGTAATTGTATAAATGTGTAATCTGTTGTGCTTTTTGTTTCAGAGTGAAGTGCTGTGATCATGTGAGCCATTCATGATAACTGCGTTTTCATTGTCTTGGAACAATTTGCAGTAAATGCTGGTCCACGCAAACTCCATCTCTGCAAGTGCTGTGACTTTGAGTCGCTTACAACGTACATTTTAAAAGCACTCCAAATAGCTTCCCAAATGTCAGGGATTCAGCCACGTTCCCAATCACCAGCCTTTTAATCACCCACACCTGTTGCTGCTAATCAACACCTATAAAGCACTTGCACTCCCCCATATCAGTGTCTGGTCTCAAGGTTGCAACAAGGGACTCCTACCTGTTTCTCCTTGCCTGCATGTGATCACGTCTGTGTTCTCTGATTCCCGCAGCTCGTTCGCCATCTTTCAATACAAGAGAGACTCTGGTTACTCCATTTAAGTTCCATTACCAGCATATCTGTACTGTTTATGCTTGCTTTCTCCTGCCGTCTTCATCTTCTGCTCTTCTACATAATAAAGCCCATTGTCACTGCAACTTACCTGATTGTTCCATGTGTATGTGACTGACACCAAGTTTGTAATGAGAATTTATAGATGTTGTCAACAAAAGACATACCTTTGAAAAGAGCCGAATGTCATGTTGTGCCAAAATAAGAGCTCTGTGGTTTGTTTGAAAGCAAAGAAACAACCATGAATTTCTTTCTTCTATAATGTTACAATTTAACTTTTTACAATGTTACTATTTTGAGTTGAAACTCCAATATACATATTCTGAGAACACCGGAGACCATTACATCTTGTTTAAAAAGTGCAAAATAGAACCCCCTAAGGGGATCAATCAGGGTATCTTCCGTCCAATCAATTTTTGTTTTAATATTGAAAAATGAAAAACGGCACATATTTCGTTTTTCAATTATTCAAACAAAACGAAAAATCAAGAATCCGGCTTAATTTTTCGTTTTTCCATTCAGGGATAGAAAACGAATAAACAATTTGAATATTCGATCTCTACATGTGGGCGGGAATGAAACGCCCCTCTCTGCTAATTGGTCAACCAAACATTACAACATAATAATAGTCCTAAAAAAAACATAACCATAATACTCCTCCGCTTCTATTGATTCTTAACATGTTTATTTCTACTACATTTTATCTCTTCATCAAACAGCCAGATTAATGAATGGCTTGACACAAACCATACTGAAGCAGAGCCTTTTGGCCCTAGGCATGCCTGTTTTATTATAATTATCCACCCATTAAATATGTGTGGCAAAGCTGCGCGACGCACTGCAACACGGGGAGAATGTATTGTAGACAAGCGCAGACCACTATTAATTTATCCCTGAATGTAAAAACGAAAAATTAAGCCGGATTCTTGATTTTTCGTTTTGTTTGAATAATTGAAAAACGAAATATGTGCCCGTTTTTCATTTTTCAGATTTCAATATTAAAACAAAAATTGATTGGACGGAAGATACCCTGATTGGGATAGTTCACCCAAAATGAAAATTTGTTGTTAATTTACTAACCCTTGGCCCATTCAAGATGTAGGTGACTTTCTTTAGTAGAACCGTAAAGTTTTTTTTTATTTTATTTTTTTTTAGCTAAAACCATGGTCTTTGGTGATTCATAAAATGCAAGGCAATGGCTACTGCCACTTTGAGAGTCAAAAAAGCAATACAAAATGAATACCTGTGGCTTCTGACAATATATTGAGGTCTTATGAACTGAAACGTTCTGTCAACATTGTGCAAGAAACTGAAAATAACTTTAATCACAAGGACTGTGATTTTACCTAAAAACCCCATCTTAATCTCATTCTTCTAATATTTAGCACAGGGATGACCTGGCAAGGCAGGACATTTCACCAAATCTTGCTGAATGCCATTGCAAGGAGTATTTTGTTAAAGTCTGTCCACATGTTATGACTGTGGACCATGGAAAGCTTTGTGCTCTGCCAATGTAAAAGGTCCACATTTATTTAGTTTCAGTCAGGCAAAGAGAGACTGACCATTAACCCTCAAGTCATTTGTTTGACTTAAAGCTTTAAGGCAGTTATTTCAATGAAAACCAGAGACTTTCGGTCCTGGGTAGGGAGTTGTAATATCAGGAACCATGTATTCACAAAACCGGTTTAAATCAAAACGGTAATTAAACAAGCTAAATCTTCTGAATATATCATTGGTAAATTACTTCCATATGTTGGATGTGTGGGTTTTTGAGCCACAGTTTGTTATCATGGCAAAAGCGTGGTATGGCATAATTCAGCTTTACAGAATTGGATCAGCCTGACAAGGTTGAGGTTTTATGCTGAAATAGCACAATAAAAACTCCAGGTTTGCATTTAAAGAAGACGGAGTGTTCCTATGAGAGCAACGTCATTACTTGTTTACCTTGACTTCGACACTTGCATCATTGCAGGTTGACATATGTTTGAAGTTTATTTTTTGAAGGAAAATTGAAAGGCTGCATTCCACAGCTGCCATGTCATCAAACACCACTGAAATCTGTCTTATAGGATGTAGCCTTCCGATTTAGAAGCACCCTAACTGTAATCTGAAAAAAAGAGAACAAAATATGTGCTTAAACAGATGGGGTTTTTGAGCCACAGTTTGTTATCATGGCAAAAGCGTGGTATGGCATAATTCAGCTTTACAGAATTGGATCAGCCTGACAAGGTTGAGGTTTTATGCTGAAATAGCACAATAAAAACTCCAGGTTTGCATTTAAAGAAGACGGAGTGTTCCTATGAGAGCAACGTCATTACTTGTTTACCTTGACTTCGACACTTGCATCATTGCAGGTTGACATATGTTTGAAGTTTATTTTTTGAAGGAAAATTGAAAGGCTGCATTCCACAGCTGCCATGTCATCAAACACCACTGAAATCTCTTATAGGATGTAGCCTTCCGATTTAGAAGCACCCTAACTGTAATCTGAAAAAAAGAGAACAAAATATGTGCTTAAACAGATCACAGAGTCATTTTTGGGTGAACTATCCCTTTTAATAGCTTTGGATAGACAATACATTTGTATGTAAAAGTTAGTTATACTTAATGTTAACTTAATGTTAAGTTATATTAATTGTTAATATTAACACATGTTCCAGGTTAAATAAACATTACGGACACTTTAAAAAAAAAATTATTAGTATTTTTACATTATCAATGTAATGAATTAATTATTTATTAAAATCAGAATGAGCTTTATTCGCCAAGTCAGACTTGTAACCCGAAGGTTGAGGGTTTGAGTCACAGGACTGGCAGGAGTTGTAGGTGGGGGGAGTGAGAGTCCACCTTCATTACCCATGACTGACGTGCCCTTCAGCAAGGCACCGAACCCCCTATTGCTGCTCCGGGGGGGTGTGCATGTTCACTACTCACTGCTGTCTGTGTGCACTTGGATGGGTTAAATGCAGAGCACAAATTATGAGTATGGGTCGGGACACCATACTTGACCACATGTCGTTTCACTTTATATAACACAAGAAAAAGAAGAAAATATAACATTTACCATAAGTAAAAATTAATAAAAAATAAATAAAATAAAATAAAAAACAATGAAGTAACGCATTAGATCTGACAATTTAGGTACAGGTGTGTGTATTATGTGCTGTATAGCTGTATGAATAAAAATAAAAATGTATTTACATATCACGCCACAAGAGCACTGATTTATGAATTGTTACAAAAAGCAGGCCATACATTGGTGTGTTAGATATTTAAGGTGGAGATGGCCTGAAGATATCACTGTTTTTATGCCTAGATGTTCTAGTACACAGAGATCTGTAGCATCTGCCTGAGGGATAATTGATAAAACTTGATAGTCCATCACCTCTAAGTCTAACTCACAGTATAACATACACAATGATGTTTTCATTTCCACAAGATCATTTAAACTTTTATAACAGTTGTAGTGGTGCTATGCTTTTTTTCAGATTCCTGATTGGCTGATAGACGGAACTTTATGAGTATTTACTGTATCAATTGTTCACTAATAAGACTTTCCAAAAGTTTTGACAAAATACAAAGCTTGTAAATAGGTCTATAATTATCTAATAAAGAAGAGCTGCCCCATTTTAGCAAAAGGAACTACAAATGCAGACTATCAGATCTGTGGAATTTCCTCAGTTGAAAAAGAAAAGATTAAACATATGCCAATAGCAAGTTCCTAGCATGTTACATGGTGGCTCTAGTTAGACATTAGAGATTACTAGGATGTTGTAGCACGTTGTGAGGTGTAATAGTTGTTATAGGCATAGCTACAGTCAGATACTGTTAGACACACACAGACAGTCTAAGTTGCTAAAGTATTTTGGGTGGTTGTTTATTCTTATATTTATTTTGATGAAACCCATATGTGTATTGGTGCCTTACTTGTATGAAAAAGCAATGGCCCCCAATGCACAAATAAAAACAAGGACTCCCAGTGTTGCTCCAGCTGTGTTCCTTGATGAATTTGTGTCTAGTTTTAACAAGAGAAGTTGTGAAGTAGTGAGGTTATAGGGTATGTTCAGGAAAATAAATTTTATTTTAGATATGCTTTGAATTTATGACACTTGCCTATTGCCACACTAAGCTTTGCACTGGTCACAGCCAAGCTGACATCATTGGTCAGAGACACGTTGATACAGAAGGTGCCCAATTATGTTAAGACAACATAATATGTGTGAAAGCAGTAGTGGCTTCTGACCATAAATTTAGGGGGGTCAGATTCTGGGATGTATCGTAGACTCAACTACTAAACTTTTTGGAAAAAAGAAAAGAAAAAGGAGCCGTTTTCAAATTTTTCTACTTTTAATATTAAATCATAAAATGATTGAACGAATGATACATGGATTCTCTTAATTTAGGGTGTGCTGTATTTCTATTTTTCACCACATAGCCAACCTGTCTGCTGAAGCCATGCACTAAATTTCACTCTAACCATCTTACTTTACAATTTTAAATAATCTAGAAACTCAAAAAAATAATTGTTGAATAATGCTGTACACATTTACAAGTTGTGGATTGGAATTGGAACAATTTAGGATTGGTTCAGTTTATAATACAGAGTTCTATGTTTTCAAGTGGATGTATATTTTTGTGGCTGTTTTAAAGCCTGTTTAGGGTTAGTACAGTGGTTGTCAATTCCAGCCATGAGGTTATAGATTAAACATTTTTGACAGTTAAGCCAGCCAGGCCAGTAATGCTGACGTGAAGCCATGTTTGTGTTGGTTGGAATATAAGGATCAAATATAGCTGCAAGCAGCAATTAAGGGGTCAAGCACAATAGAGGCAGAATGAGGAGCAAGCATGGCTGGAAGGAAAAGACCAAAAGCAACGAGTAATTAAAGATATTTTAAGGTGGATTTACTCAAACTGGCTAAAAAAAAATCTATTCAATCATTAGTAATATGACTTATTTAACTTCGTTTAAATTTTTTAAAACTTGCATTTGAATCATCTTGAATCGTCAAGGAATCAGAGGGGGAAAAAAATATTTTGTTTCTAGCCCTGACGGCTCAAAGGTTATTAGCACTAGCGTGAGTGCAAATTTGGACAAGCGGTGGCGCTAGCGGGTTTGAGTTAAGATACTTAAAATTTGGTGTGGTTAACGTTCAGACTGTCCTCTATCTGTGTGCCAAATTTCACAACTTTTTACCATATGGTTCTATGGACTGCCATAGAAGAAGAGGAAGAAAAAGAAGAAGAAGAAGAAGAAGAAGAAAAAGAAGAAGGAGAAGAAGAAAAAGAAGAAGAAGAAGAAAAAGAAGAAGAACAGCAACTTCAATACAAAAATGCAAAAATGTAAAGCATTTCTTTCTTTGAGAACAATGATGCCCAAAAGATCAATATTCAAGTCTAATATTGGCCAAAAAGTAAAGAAAAATAAATAAATAAATACTCACGGACTACTGTAAGAGTTGTAGAGAAGGAGCCATAACGATAAATCATACAGTTTCTTTCTGCCGGCATTTCTGGTGCTTGCCGCTTTGCAATGATTAGAGCAGCCTGGGTTGCTTCAGTTCCTGCCACCTGTTCAGCTCCTAATTCACTCACTGTTGCCTCAGGTATACTAGTTAGGCCTGCAATTAAAGCACCAATGCAAATACATTAAATATATGATACAATTAATTGGTTATGGATTTTTTTAAAGTTATGGCTGTCTATATAATTTTTTTTCACCACTGATGGCTTCGGTTGCCTCGTTGACTCCAGCAGCAGCTTCATTAATTGCTTCTATGTCTTCTGCTACAGGTATAACAGATGCTATGACATCTGTGACCACTGCCTCAGGGGTGTTAATGATTATTGCATCACCAGTCGGTGCCACACTTTCTATAAGTGTCTGAACAGAGGTTGTTTCAACTACAGCAGCAGGGGTTTCTGGGAGAACTGTGGCCGCCAGATTGATTATAATCTCGCCTCCTTCTGGGGCCGTGTCAGCTGCAGGAACTTCTGTCGCAGGTTCAGCCTCAACAGCTGTAGGTGTGGCTAATATGACTGCTGCTGCAGAAGCTGACAATACTACTGCAGTGTCTCCAGCAGCAGTGGGCACCTCCTGAGCAGTATTATCTAATTCTGCCTCTGCGTCAGTTGCTGACACTGCCAAGTCATTGGCAACTACAGTGACATCAGGTGCAACTTCTTCCTCTGCCAAGGGAACAACATCAACCGATTGAGGAGAAACAGTCAGCACAATGTTTTCCACTGATGTTGCTTCATCTGTCAAAAAGGAGAAGGCACCGACTGATAAATCTTTTGGAAATCTCTTCAAAACACTTATTGAACTGAGAATGATATTTTAAATGCCATGAAATATGAGCTTTGAATACAATATGAAATTACACCTGTGACAGGAACAGGGGGTACACCAGTGGCTGCTGGAGTTGGATTGAGCTGACAACCAGTTGAGATAGCTGCCATCAAAACCACCTGTGGCCTGAAGGAACCAGTTGTAAGGTATGTGTGGGTAACAGTGGTTTCCCGAGAAATGAGAGTTCCACTATTGTCACCAAAATCCCAGTTGAAGGTGATGTCTGACCCACTGAGATATTGGCTGGGGTCATGCAAGTTAATGCTGAAGGACACAGCTCTGTTCTGGATAAAGCTTTGGTCACCCTGATTGATGTCACCAACCTGAGATAATATGACTGTAAAAGGAATCTGGTCTAGAGAAGAAGAGGAAGTTTCATTAGGTTCTTGTGGAAATATACAGTACACAGTAAATGACAACATTGGTTTACTCTCCAGTTACACTGAGTACTCTCCAGTTCAGTTCAAGGCAGTGGTTTAATGGCATGAATTCTTACTACAACGTAAGGTAAACAAAATAGGCTTAATGTTTTTTTTCTAAAGAATAGAGATGATAAGGAATCTCTAGATATATGTGCAGTTATCAAACTACTCACCAGTGATGGAGAACTGGGTAGATGCATAACCAAGGGGAACAAACTTGTCTTTGCCACGGCAGTGATAAATCACCAAATCCATGGTGTAAGAACCAAGAGGCATATTGTCTGTTTCAATTGTCAGTAGAGAGGAGGGACCATCAGCCACCTGCCAATATTTTCCTGAAAGAGAGAAACAATGCAAGAGTAACTAAAATTCAGCCACCACAGTTGCCCTAACCCTGTCCCTAACACCAAGCTACACCTAAAATCAAAATGATTTTAAATTAAATGGTTAATAAGAATGTTGAACAAGCCTGCCCAAGTCTAACCCTAAAGTCCTCATAGGTTGTTGATCCAAGAATGTGTCCTACTTGCATATGCTATTCTGTAATGTCTGGACAAATCAGACACATTATTATTTGCTATATTTAACAAATAATCCAACAGACCCCTCACTCAATATCCTGACTGGGTACCTGGATGCCTGTGAACAACCCTCCAGACCACTGGTTACCATAGTAGCCAGGATACCTCAGCCAGATAAGATAGCTTTTATGGCCCAATGGAACTCAGAGTTTTACTCTCACTTAATTCACTTTGAAACAGACACATACTGCCCACAGAAAAGAATGACTTCTCTTTAATTCGTAGGCAAACCTTTCTATGAATGAACATGCATATCCCCAGGAGATTGTGCATATTATTACTGTTTTTGTATATTGTCTTTTGTATTGTATACTACTATTTTGTATTGTATTGTTTATGCATGCCTTATGATAGAATTATTAGATAATGTAAACCTATTGGTACTGTGTTTGATATCAAAATATCCCTTGTTTAGTCCACCATCCACTGGTCACCTCCTTGTTATATTAGTATAATATAGTATAAAGGTACATAAAACTGCCTTATGTACCTTTACCCACTCTGATCAAATGAGCCGTACATTTAACTAAACAAAAGGTTTAGAGGTTTAGTATAAGCTGCAGACCCCATTGTAAAATGGCGCTGATGGTTTTGTGCAGATGGTTAAACGACTCTTTTCATAGCTTCATTACCTGTTTCTGGTTTCATTCATTTGTACTTCCCGTTTTTCCCATGTATGCATGTGTGAGTATGTGTATATGTTTGTTAAACTAGTTTGTGTGTTAGTTTAATTGATAAAACTTTTGTGCATGAATTACACGAGTTTCTGATTCTGTCACAGCTCAATTTAACGAGCCGATCTTGCTAATGCATTAGTACTGTAAGAAAGTTATTTTTTGTGAATTGATATGAAATTACACTGAATGTTCTACAGTTGTGCTACAGTTACGAATGGCAGCTGATATAAATAATTGTAATTAATTTATTAATTTAACTTTTGAGCTAATTTGCTACAAATCCATCTATCCACTAAATGTGTATGTTACTAGGGGAGAGTGTGGTAATTTAAGCCTGTGGGGAAGTTGAGCCACCCCTTGTTTCTAGGCAACTTTAAACAAAATTGGTGATGTGACCACAGATATGTGAAGATACCCTGTGATGGAGAGAGGCCAATGGGATGATTGGTAACTACATTTAAGTTAAAAAAAAGTGATTTTTTAAAAGCCAGTGGCTCACCCCTTCTTTTGATTATAAAGTATTATTTTACTGTATTTCTACATTGTATTTCATTAATTTTAGGCCAAACATTTTTTATTTTGTTATTTGTTTTGAATTTGATTTTAAATTTAAAAAAATTAATAGTTTGTGAAAATAGATTGAAATTTTTATGAAACTGTATTTACCTGCAATATTTATAAGTGGGATGTTGAGTACTATTAGCCTAGTTCTGTACTTGCAGTCCATTCATTCATTCATTTATTCATTATTTTTAATTATTCAATTTGAACTTTATTTTGTTCTGAAAATTTTAAATAATTAAAAACAATGCCTTCAAAGTTGTGAACTGTATCTTTAAATAAAACTTCAAAGAAGTCATCCATCCATTCTATTATCCAGATCTCTTTGTCCTTATTAGGGTCGCAGAGAGCTGGAGCCTAACCAGCATCTTGGTCATCACAAGGCTCACACAGGTTTTAAGAAGTCATTTTTATTGAATTTCTCTTCCTTTGATATAGCACGAGGTGACAATTTTCAGTTTTACTCCATGTGGCTCGACTTACCCTCTCCCTAGGCTCAATTTACCCATCACTGGGGGCAAGTTGTGCCAAGAGACCACTTTTTTTTTTTTTTAGATTAAAAGTGATTATTCCCAAGGATGCACTACATTACCATATTAAATATGTACACATTTAAGTTGGACCCATTACTGTCATGTTCACACTTTAAACACAGAGTAAGTAAAAACCGACTCAACTCACTCAACTCTCCCCTATATAATAGACTAGTCTACAGGTTTAAACTTGCTCTTACCCCATGTTTTCCATACATAGACAAACCGAGGCTTTTTGTTGGAGATCTTAGTGAAGGGTGTCCTGTCAGGAAAGACACCCCATTCTTGAGGTATATTGGACTCAGGGTATACAGTCTGGCCCATAGTATATGATGTACCTAAAAGACACACACACACACACACACACACACAAATTATTTTTTCTTTTATGTGCAGATAACATTCAAATTCATAACATATTTAAAAAAGTGATGTATACATAAAAAATATTTAAACAAAATATAAATAATATATAAATATACTCAATATTGGTTTGTAAATACATTACAAAATTTTTATTGATGGTAGTGCAAGAATAAAATCATATATAATGTAAATGTATTGTATTATGGAATTTTATATAACTAACCATTAATTGTACAGTTTCTTGCCCACACCACGTGTCCATCAGGAAGGACTGTCTGGTTCTGAGGGAAGCGAACATTAATGTTGAAAGTGGCTTTGGCTCCTGTCAGTGTAGGAGAATCACTTCTGACTTCAAATGTCACCTCTCCACCTATGGCAAAAAAGGATTTCCACATAAAAACAAAAGGTCAAGGTATGCACATCCAAAGCGTCTTGGCCAGGTGCAAGATCAAAAAATACATCAAATAATACAAAAAAGATCTGCACACTGTTATTCTCCCTTTATTTAGAAAAAGTTAAAATGGGCAACATTTCAGTCAAAGACTTTCGTCAGGCACACACACACAAAAAAGATTTCCAGACAGTTTAAAAGAGAGGTATAGCATATCTTCTTCCAAAAAAAAAAAAGAGAGAATAAACAATTATCTCAATAAATTATTTCCACTTGTATCATATATAATAATTGTTCTTTCTCCTCATGTCTTTACCTTCATGTATTTTTCTTTTTCATTCTTAGCATTCTTGGGTTTGTATTAGTGTTACAGTAACAATCTATGTATTGTTATTCTTAGAGGTGTCTTATCAAGGGAACCTCAGATTTTTTTATTTAGGTTTAAGTTAAATTAAATTAAAATTAAGTTAGATTAAAAAAAAATTAAAGTTAGAAATTTGATTGCAGTTAAATGTAATAACTTTGCAGTAGAAATGTAAAATATAATAAGTGATCATGTCTGGTTTGATATCAGATGGTGGGTTTTGATATTCTGTAATTCCCAGCATGAGGGCTTCTTTACCAGCAGTACTGTATAGTCATGCTACAATAAGTCAAGTCTTTTAGACAACTAATTAGTTTTATGACTAATTCCTGGGAACTGCATATTTGCCGACAAGGCTAGAGGATAACATTCCCTGTGTAAATAATTACAACATGTTAAAAAGTCAGTGATGGAAAACTACTTGCCTTTTGTCTTAATTGGCCAGTTTGAATAAAAAAGACATCACTATTTCTGTTTAATTTGGTGGAAATATATATATATATATAGATATAAATAATGGCACGCCATTCAGGAAATTATTAATTATATTGAATGAAATTCTGAATATATGGAATGAAACTTGAATATATTGAATGAAAGTCTAAATATATTGAATGAAACTTGAATATATGGAATAAAAGTTTGAATATATTGAATGAAACTTAAATATAGAGAATGACATTTTCAGTGTGGAATTAAAATGCAAATTTGACAGTACTTAATGAATAATAATATAGCTAGTTATATCCTTGTTACCAGAGCAGTAGCTTTCTAATTTGAATGACTTTCAATTCATTGCCTCAAATTTTCCAATACTTTGTTGAACTAGAGAATTTTGGCAATAGCTGGTCATATTCCAAACAATCAAACAGATTGGAGTGTACATACTGTCATCTTGATTTCCATCATCTCAGACATTTCACACAGTACCCATGTTAATTTTGACAGGAAATTTAGTTTTAGTTTTAGTCTTTTGATTAAAATGCCATATAGTTTTAGACATACAGTATTTTAGTCATTTGAATTGTTTAGTTTTAGTCTAGTTTTAGTCAACTAAACATAAGATTTTAGTCAACTAAATATACAGTAGATTTATTTGACTAAAATCTGATGAGTTTGGTTAAATTGTAATGCATTAAGCATTTAAGTATCACACAACTGTTACTTGAATACACGCCAAAACGGACATCTTGGCATAACTGTGTGTGTTTTTGACAATTTAAGTGCAAAAATACAGAAAGTAGAGCTCAATTCAGTACTTGTCAGGGCCTAACGCATACCTTTTTATGGTTCTAGTTAGCTATAATAACCCTGAAACTAGTAAAATCTATTTATTGAATAATATGTGAAATAATGTCCTTAGTCTTTCCTTCCTGTGACTGGAATCCCTGAAACAAGACATACACTGGAACTCTTATTTGCAGGCTCATTCAAGTTCAGATGAGGGAGATAAAATATGCATTCTTACAACTATCTAAAACAT